GCCATGGCGGAGAAAGGAGAAGAGCTTGGTGGGGAAAGAAACAGAAGGAGGGATAGATCGATGCATGGATAGGTAAGGATAGCACCGAGTGTTGTGATATGGGGAGAGCACCGAGCGTTCGATCTCTCTTTATCGTACGCACCGCGCGCGACCGGCTCAAGTTTCGGCCGGTCCGCCGGTCAGAAATGTTTACCATCTTTATAATAGATTTGTTATTTTTCAGAAAAGAAATAGTGTTTCGCATGGTTAAAAAAAGAAAGATATATAGTGTTTCTCCAAATGAAAATTTGACCGTTGGTCGAGAAACTCCAGTCATCTGATACAACCGACTTCCATCTAAAGTCAATACACAAGCAGGCCTTTTACACGTAGTTGAGTCTTGAGTGCGTTAGTTAGTCTTAGAATCCACCAGTATGCTGTACATGCAGATCAACTGATTTTGTAATATGTACTGTAGCTCAGTGAAGCCTCTTGAGCCTGACCTGCGCGCCGTGCTCAGGCTGCAGCAGGCCAACGGTGAAGGGCGCGTGTGTGTAGGACGGCGAGAGGTCGAAGGAGAAGCGCTGCAGGATCATGGCGAGCCCCATTTTAGCCTCGAGCAGTGCGAAGCTCTGGCCGACGCAGATCCGCGGGCCCCAGCCGAACGGGAAGAAGGCCGGCGCGTCGACGGACGCCTTGGAGATCCCCTCGGAGAACCTCTCCGGCCTGAACTCATGGGCGTCCGCGCCCCAAACCTCCTTGTCGTGGTGGACGCTCAACAACGGCAGCATAAGCACCACGCCCGCCGGGTACCTGACGCCGCCGAGCTCCGTCGGCCTGTACGTCTTGCGCTGGAGCGCCGTCAGCGGCGTGTATAGCCGCAGCACCTCGTACAGCACCATGGTCACAATTCTCAGGCGACTCAGCCCGTCGTAATCCGGCGTGCGGTCGCCGAAGACATGCAGGACCTCCTCCCTGGCGCGGTCCTGCCACTCCGGGTGCATGCAGAGGACGATCATCGTCCACGTGAGCAGCACCGACGTGGTCTCCATGCCGGCGAAGTAGAATAGCTTGCACTCTCCGATCACGTCGTCGGTCGTGATGCCGGCCTTGGAATTGCCGCCCGCCCTGGTGTGTGCCATGTTGGACTCCAGCAGCAGCCCGAGAAGATCGTCGCTCGTGGCTTGACCGGCCCTCAAGGCGTTCTCTCTTTTCGCGATGATGCCCTTGAGGATCCTCTCGATCTCGGCAGCGATCTGCCTCATCCTTCGGTTGGCTTTTGTTGGGAAGAACCTGGACATACAATAATGTATCAGGACAGAGTCTGCAGCGCAGTGCCGTAGGAAAAACCCAAATTTGCACCATTGATCGATGTACGTGCAGAAGGAGAGTAATCGCAGACAGAGAACTCACAAATAACCAGGGATATGTATCTTGTTCATGGCGAGCACGGCGAGCTCGATCTGCTCCCCCTGGAGCTGGAAGATCCTCCGGCCCTCCAGGTAGCTGCTGCCAAAGGCAGCGCGAGAGATGACATCCCCTGTCAGGTTCTGCATGTCGGGCCAGACATCTACCTCGCATGGCGCGTCACCCGCGGCTAGGCCTTCCCATCTGTCCACCAGGTCGGTGCAACATGCAGCGAAAGCTGGCAACATGCGCTGAAAATTGAACACCAATTTTGTCACTCCCTGGAACCAACCAATGCCAGTCTGCCGCCATGTCAATGACCCAACCAAAAATAAATAATAAATCACCTTGAGCTTCTCGAGATGGAAGGCAGGGTTGATGATCCTCCGGTGCTTGGCCCATTTCTCGCCCTCGTGGCTACCAATGCCATTGTGCAACATCCTCTGAAGTCGGCCCAACTTGAGCTTCTCAAAGTCGCCGGACTTGTTGGACAGTACTTCTCGCACCAGTGCGGGCTTGGTAATGGTCACTCTAGGCGACGGTCCAAACCAAGTGATAGACATTTTACCTGAAATGAAATGATATTAGACAATCACGAGGTAGCTTGTATCAGCAGTTCTTTTTCATTTCTTCAGTTATTATGAATACACGTCTACATTTTCATTTTCAGTTAGCCCATTTACCTAAGTGGGGTACGGTTTGTCTAGTTTGCTAGAACATCATTAGATTTCGTGGATAGAAAAATGAAGCCCGATGCACCCACTAAAATAAGAAGGGTGGGATCTAGAGTCTAGTCATCATCGCATTAGTGTGGGTACCTTTCGAACTGGACTATTGAGTTGGTGTTTTCCTCTTTGGAATGATGATGTCTATAGCTAGCGTACGCAATAGGAATATGGCCTTGGATGCAATCATGCAGCATGGGATTTTCTTGTTGATACTCTCTTTTACAGATGCTCCTATAGCTAGATACCTTGAGTGTCCGTAAATCTGGTTGTCCTAATCTGTTACAAAACTGCAATAAAGTTGAATTGAACTTCAAAATAGCATGAGAAAAACCCACACAAAAGAAAATTAGCATGAAAAAAATAGCCAATAGCGGTGCATGCAAGGAAAAAATGATTCCGGTAGTCAACCATTTTTTTTTTATGAAAACTGATGAATCTGCTCTTTTTTTTAGGGGTACTGAATCTGCTCTTGGAAACATGTTCCCGGACGACCGAGTGACGCGACCAAAGAAGTTTCCAAGGCAAACCAATGCAGCCGACTCCAAGGTCAAGGGACAGGCAAGAAAGAGAACAAGAGAAGTAGGAGACGTACCGTGCTCCTTCATGGTCTGGTGGAACAGCGGCATGGCCCGGGGCACGACGTCGTGGCAGCCCAGCGGCATGGACCGGGCCCTCGCGTCCTCGTTGAGCCTCTCGGCCAGCGGCGCGTCGCCGGCCACGGAGCGGTACGCCGTGCCGCGAAGGCCCTGCGACCGCAGCGCCCGGTCCAGGCGCCGGGGCCTCCACCACGCCCACTCCAGCGCCCGCACGGCGCACCACGCGATGGTCGCGCCCGCCACCACGTACAGCAGCTCCCGTGGAAAAGAAACCGGCGATCCCATCACGCTCGTCGCCTTGGCCCAGAACACGCCGGAGCAGCCAGCGCAAGGGGAATGGGGTTGATTGATGCTTTGCTCTCTTGCGGTGATCAAGTGGGTGGGGGCGTAGGATACGAGTGCTGTGGTGATCACCTTCCATTCCACCACTATATATAAAAGATGGTGGAGGCCTTTTGCACCGCATGCTTTTCCGCCATTATAGAGCACATTTTTGCGCCCTGGGCTGTTTCCGTGATGGTTCTACAGTCCACAGCAGGCCGGGGAAGTGGTCTTTTCTTTTAATCCCTGTGAAATGAGAAGATCCGTGTGGGAAAAAAAGGGAGCAAAGTTGGACGACGAAAAGCGAGCGTAGGGACGCGGCACGGCACCAACCTGGTCTACAATTAGGTGGCTGGCTGCATGGGCCTCAATCTTTGTGGGTCGTTTGCAGTCGATCGAGAGCGTGTTTCTTTCGGAAACAGCTGACTATCTGCTTTCTCCTTCCCATTTGAAGCAGCTAGCGTCTTCGTACACACAGGTCATAAAGGTGCAGCGTCGCACGTAGAGTGGTCATGCCGTGCACCGAAAGCGCCTGCGCAAGCTCTCCCTGGCTGGCTTTTTAGAACCAGATAGTGTCCCAAAACTCCCGTTGGAAACCAAAAAAGGCAAGGAAAATATGCATGTCTGGACGACCGCCGCAAATTAGAAATTACATGTGCAACGCATGGCCAGGGACATGCATGGCCATATACCTAATCCTAATCCTATCGTGCGCTTTGTGGAATTCGTCCGTCTTTTTGTTGCACCTTTGCATGACGGCACCCGTTGCGTTCGCTAGCATGGGCGCACGCGCTTGGGCGGGACGGGACGACCGGTGCACACAAGGCCGGCCACGTCCGTCTTTCTGTTTACTCTGATCGATCATCGTGCGTGTTTGCTAGCTCGTCTAAGAAAGATCAAGTGAATGCAGATGTGTGCATGGGACGACCGGACTGCGTGTTAATAGACGACCATTAGTCCATTCGAAAAAAAATAGACGACGATTAGTCTTTGGGAGACATGTGTTGGTAGAACACGTGCCATGGCGCTCTAGTCCAACGCCACGTACCTGCATGCCCCGGTTCCAACGTTGAATTACGTTTGCCAAATAAGTTGACATAACTTCGGTCAGTGTTTTCCTTATCTGGGGCTGATATTCCACGAGCGCTCACGTTCAACGCCAACATGCGTCTTCGCTCTTCCCATCTTGCGGTCAACTGCGTGAACATTGATTTGACATCCCAACCATTTCCTTTTTTTAACACGACTTCCCAACAATTTTTACATGTATGATGTTGGACTTTGACAACCGCCATAGTTCATCCCACAATAGTCTGGTTTTTTTTTCTTGCAATATGAAAAGAGTTTTATTCCATCATATTAGGGTTACAATCAGGAGGCAAAAGATTCTTTATACATGGTGGTGCGCTATGTAGCCATACAGTAGTACTACTTTCTACTCGACTATATGATGCCAACCTATCTGCCATCCTATTTTGCTCAGGCTTGATTTTCATGGGAATAAACCCTCTCCCTTGCATAAGGAACTTTATCTCTGCCACCAAATGACCATATGCCGATCTCAAGAGGCCTTCCTCAGACAAAGCTAACAATGCTTTCGAGGAGTCCGATTGAACAATAACAGGATCTTCAGTACGTTGCAACGCCAATGTCATATCTTGCATGATAGCATGTAACTCCGCCTCAAGAGCGTCGTTGCAATTAAAAATATATGGATATGCAGCGAAGATAACCCCACCGTCATGTCGTCTCAAGATCATGCTGGTCGCCGCCATGCCGTCCACTCCTAAGAAAGATCCGTCCACAGACAGAGCAACACGATTTGCTGTAGGCGTCAGCCACGACAACGTTTTTGCTGCTTTCTTTCTTCTTATTTCCGGCCTCATTTCCACCACCAGCATCTTCCCTTTCATAAGCTCCTCTATAATGTATCTCCTAGACAGTTCAAGTGATAACATATAGCTTTGAAGATAATCAACAAATACTTGAGCTGTTGGGACATCTTTCCCATGTGTATTGTCCCTTCTCAAGGACCAAATCCTCCATATTAGCATAATGATACAGTCCCGCTCATATTGTCCACGGCAAGTGAGTAGGTCTAGTAGCCATTCATTCCTTGTATCAATAAGTGCGGAATCATTGGGTAATGGCCACCTTTCTCTCATACGTTCCCACAACTCTCTTGCATGCTCACATGCGATCAAAGCATGGTAGGTTGATTCTTCCTCTCTGCCACAAAGTGGGCACGTTGATCTTTTTGAAATATGCATGTACTTCTTGCAAACATTGGTAGCTAATGCTCCAGAGGCAACTTTCCATGCTAGAATCTTGTTCTTTTGAGGTACATGCGACCCCCATATGCACTGCCAAACTGGTCATCTTCCAGTTGGATTACTGCTCGAAGCCCCTCCTGCGACCGCCATGTCGTGTTGCTGATAGCCAATCGGTAGGCACTCCACAATAGTCTGTTCTTCTCTTCCAGCTCCACCATGGTCACAGTGGAACAACTAGCTACCAATGCGCCATGGTTTCACCACATGGAAACCGCCCAAGAATCCAGGAACCTCTCCCTTCTCCCCGTAGTGACTCAGAGGCCAGTGGATCTAGGAACAGACGAGACCTAAGAGAAGGATAATTAGCCACCAATGGTCGTTTCTCATCGAGATGCTGAGGAAATTGGGCTTTGGTGAAAGGTGGTTGTCATGGATTTGTGGACTAGTTGGGAGTACTTCCACGAGGATATTGGTCAACGGAGTGTGAGGACGAACTATTTTCAACTGCAAGGGGCTACACCAAGGTGATCAGCTGTCAACAATGCTATTCATAGTGATCATGGAGCCTCTACAAAGATGTTCGAGCTTGCTACAACACGAGGTATCCGTTCTCCCCTAGCAAGTAGGGGAATGAACCTCAGGGTGTCTATGTTCGCGGACAACGTAATGATTTTCATTAAGCCACGGGATATTGAGCTGAGAACTCGCTCAAGAATTTTGGAGCTTTTTGGAGAAGCTTTGGGACTAAAGGTTAACTTATTAAAGAGTGTGGCCATACCCATCCGATGCTCGATAGATGACATGGTTGCGGTTAGTGAAATCCTGGGGTGCCCAACCGGATCTTTCCCCTGCAAGTACTTTGGACTAGCACTCACAATCATATTATAGTCGGCATCGCAGTTGCAAGGTTTGGTGGATCAGCTCGCAGCATACTTTCCCACTTGGAGAGCCGCCTACTTCTGGTCCAATCAATCCTTTGTGTGATACCCATTCACGCCATGATGGTGCTGGACGTTCCGCTTAAGACACTTGCGGCAATGACCAAGGTCTGCAGGGGGTTGTTATGGTGCGGCAAGGCTCAGGCCAAAGGTGGAAAATGTGTGGTGGCATGGGATACCATGTGCACCCCCAAGTGGGCGGGAGGCCTAGGAATCCCCAACCTCAGATGGTTGAACATAGAAATGTAGGCACGATGGCCTTGGCTGCAGAGAGCTGACCCACACGGACATGGTGTGAGTTCCAGATCACGGTGCCAAAAGAATCTATGCCTTTGTTCCATGCAGCAACAAGGGCTATGATCGGTGATGGGCAGGCCTCCTTGTTTTCGGAGAATCATTGGCTTCAGGGCTATCAGGTGAAGGAGCCAGCACCATGGATCTATGAAAAAGTCCCATGCAGATTACAAAAATCATGAATGGTCACGGAAGCAAGGACGAATGGCACTTGAGCGCGGGATTTCAGCAGGGGATTAATGGAGGAGCAGTTACTGGAGTTTTTCACTCAATGGGATCGCGTCGCCACGGTGAACCTTGAGGGCACGGACATGGTCCAGTGGGCCTGGGAGTAGGATGGACCGTTCTCGACCAGATCAGCCTATGCAGCTAAGTTTTGGGGCAAGGAGGTCGCTCCAACAACAAACTTTATG